GAGAGACCTCTACCTGGAACCCTCCCCTCCCTTTAGAGAGGAGAAACTGGGCAGCGCCCTTCCCCCTCCAAATAGCAAGGATAGGGGCCCGTAGCACAAGACAGGACAAGGTCAAGAGTCCAAGGACACAGTCGTGGAAGGCCACGCTCAGCCACTGTCCTGCACTGGCCAGCAAAGCCAGCCCCATGTGCTGGTGACTGGAGAAGAGGTGTCTGGGTGGGGCAGCAAGAAGTTGCCCCAGGAGCAGAAAGGGTACATCTCACTGAGCGCTGTCCCCGCTATTCTGTGCCCCATAAAAACATTGAGGGGGTAGGCTGGCCTGCCGATGACCATGGGGTTCTGTGCCTTGCTTATCAAATGCAGATTCTTGGATCTAGTGCCCCAGACCTTCCAGTGTGTTTTTGACAAGCAAGCGCAGGAAGGTGTGAACTCCCCAGTGGCTATGAGCTATCATTTTATTCCCGAGGCAGGGGACGAGAAGGGAGCCAGGCCTAGGCCAGGGCTGCCAGATGGGCAGGACCACCTTGACATGATTCTGCTACAGGCAAAAGCACATCATAGGTGTCAGAGGAAATTCAGAAACCTGGGTGTGACTTGCTGACACTGCAGGAAGTGCCACCCAGATCCTCGGTATCCAGATGCTGCCTTCTCAATGGAGCCAGAACATGGACCACTCACCATGTCATCCTGCCCACATGACCCCCAGGACCCCTCCTCGCAGGTGATCACTTAGGGCAAGTCCCAGGATTTGTCTAGTCACTCTCAAATAGAAATCGTCTCATTGTCCAGTTCACTGCAGACTGATCCCACTCCACCCACACCCAAAGTGCACCCTACAAGTATTGCCTCTCGCCACACACGGGGAGGGCTGGGTGGCACCCCTAGCACACTCTTTTCAAAACAATGTCCTCTCTCAATCCCAGCCATGCTTTTAGCTGCTCCACCTCTTTTAAAGGCTGGCAGGAGGGTGTGGGTTAGTAATTTCGTAGGTCCATTTTCGGGTACTTCCTTTACAAATTCTAGAAGTGTGTGTGTGTGTTGGGGGGTGGGTCACTCCTGGAACTTTGTGGGAGATTTCCTCTTGGGGCTCTGGCCAGAGCCTAGATGAAAAGCATCCCATGTCAGCATCCTGTCCTGTAATGGCGGCCTGAATGTCACAAAGGCCTTGACTTAGAAAGAGGAGGAAGAGAAAAAGATTGTGGCTTCAAAAGGAAAAGTCCTCCTTGGCGGGGGTGGGGGGCAGGGATAGGACAGAAGCAGAGCCCCGGGGTGAGGTGTTGGGGCTGGGGAGACACTGAACATTCTACCCAGGCCCATGGAGTATGCCAGTGTGGGTCTGGGGTGCCCACTTCTCATCAGAGGTCAGGAATTCAGGGAGCAGAGCTGCAGGCCAGGGTGAGGCTGCCATACCCAGCCCGGAGCCACCTCCCTCCCCTGCTCTGGAGGCAGTTTCCTTGCCTTGAGAGGGGAGTGAGTGCTGCTCTGATGACCCTGGAGGGTTGACATCTGCACCTCTCAGGCTCCTGGGAGGTCAGGTATGGGAATGTGAACTGTGTGTGATCAGCAACTAGCTGGACTACAGATCTAAAAATATTCAAGTATTTCACACCCTTTGAATAAGCAGAAAATAATAAAGGCTGATGCTACGAAGTGCGGCCAGGATGAGGAACAATAGTGGCTTTCATAGCCTGCTGGTCAGAGTCGGAAAGGTCCAGATTTAGCCTGAAGCTTATTCAATTTGGGGATCTTCTTTATGAGAGGGTACAAAATGGGGCAGGGTCTGGGAAGGGGCTGAGCCAGTGGGAGTCGTGAGTTTAATTAAGCTTCACAGGCCTCCTAGCACCCACATCAGAATACCCATGTGCATGCGTATAAATGCATGTAAACCCCAGAGGACGCTGCAGGAAAGCATGTGCAGAAAGAGAGGTACAGAAGGACACTCTTTTTTTAGAGCAGGGAACATGCAAAGCAGGCCCTGTGCAGTTCATCGCATTTAGCCTAGGGGGGGTCCCGAGCCTGCAGCAAGGAGAATAAGAGAACGGCAGAGTGTCCAGCGGCCTTCGAGGGCACTTGAAAAGCTTTGTTTCCTTAACACTAAAAATAATGAGGCAAATACTAAGATTTGACGAAGTTGAGCATAATTACCTGGGTGCCTATTAAATTATTATATATACTCTTCTGTAACATTTGAAATATTAAAAAATTTTTCAAGCAACGTGGAACAAACCATTTAAAAATGACCAATTCAATGGCATTTAATACAGTCACAGTGCTGTGCACCCACCACCTCTAATTCCAAAACATCACCCCAAAAGGAAACCCATACTCATGAAACAATTGCTCCCCATTTCCTCTCCTCTCAGCCCCTGGCAACCACCAGTTTGTGTTTCATTTCCACAAATTTACCAACACTGGATATTTTATATAAATGGATCAGACAATAGGTGACCATTTCTGTCTGGCTTCCTTTACTTAGCATAGCGTTTTCAAGGTTTATCAGCTCTGTAGTATGTGTTTGTATATGATTCCTTTCTATGGCTGAAAAATGTGCCATCATATGGATGTATCACAATTGTTTATCCGTTCACCAGCTGATGGACAGCTAGGCTATTTCCACTGGCTGGTCACTGTGAATGGTGCTGCTCTGAACACACATCTCTGCTCTGAACACACATCTCCGTGTACCTAGTCAGGCCCCTGACGGCAAGTCTTTTGGTTTCTAACCTGGGCGTGGAATTGCCGGACTCCACCAAACTGTTAAATGCAAAGAACTCATTGGACATCCTCATCGGTAATGTATGAAGGTCCCAGTTTCTCCATATCCTGGCCAGCACTTTTGGTCATTTTACATTTTTTTGATAATAGTCATCCTAATTTCATGTGAAGTGGCACCTTATGTGGTTTTGATGTCATTTTCCTAATGACTAATGATACTGAGCCCCTTTTCATGTGCTTATTGGCCATTTGCACATCTTCTTTGGAGGAAAGTCTGAGCCTTTTGCCTGTTGTTCGATTGAGTTGTTTATGGTTCTGTTGCCGAGTTGTAATAGTTCATAACTTTAAAAAAATCCTCCCAAGGTGGAGGCATCTCCTTGGCCTTTCCACCCTCTACTGTTCCCACGCATCCAGACAGGAGGAACCACAAGATGGTGTCTGCTTTCCCCAGGCCCACCCCCAACCCAGAAAGGAAGAGAGGGAGGAAGTGGGGGGCGGGGAGGAGGGAGCGGGGGCCAAACTGGAGGACAAAAACATCTTTCTAAGACAGCTGACAGGGAGAGAAAGGAAGAACTACTTCTTCTGGAAGTCCCTGCTGTCACAGGTCACACACCCCACAAGGGGTACTAAGTTCCACCAACGCTTGGCTCTCATTACATGTCCACGCCCGTTCTCTCCTTTCACTCGGAGGGGTGGGGTGGGGGTTCTGTCCCCTCCTCCGTAGGTCACCCTGCTCGCTGGACTGTTCCTACCCTCAGGGGCCATGCCAGGAGGTGAAGCCAGGCCCCCCCCCACCTGCTGCCACCTGAGCCAGCTGAAGGCAAGAGAAGGAGGGCGCACCAGAATCCTTTGCATGAAACCCAATGACCATACTACGACACAGTGACACAGGCAGAGGGAGCAACGCATTAGCCCAACTTAAGAGATACTAGGAAGACCCTTCATTGTTTGAAAATGTCTCAGCCCCATGCACCTCAGCATTAGCCATGAAACTCTGCCTTGGTAAAAGCACAGTGGCCCCTGAAGGACTGCCCCTTCCCCCTTCCCAGGCCGTAGGCACTGCATGTTCCATTTCAGAAATCCAGCCTCCAGCCAGCACAGACTGAATGCCCAACAGAACCATGGAATGAGCCTCTTGCTGAAAGAATATTCCAGTGGATGCAAGCCCCCTACACAAAAAAAAAGGGGAGGTGTCCCTATCTATAAGGTGGGGCTGGGCTTAGTAGTGTCCCAGGCTTCTTCTAGAGGTCACTTCTTTGATTCTGGCTCACTCCAGTTTTGAAGTCCCCCTGGATACACCCTGGTGTGGGTTCTACTCAGCTTTCACAAGTTCAGAGATCGGGTGCCACCAGGCAATCTGTCTGCCGTCACTGCCTTCCTAAGCTCTCCCTGGATCACAGAACCTGCTCCCTTTGATGGCCACTCTTCTGCCCCCATCAAACAGTAAGAAGCTGGGGATCCATTTTTAAACAGTTTGGTCATTTTTCTTTCCCAGCCAACTCCCCAGGCAGCCAATTCTGTAGTAGGGATGCAGAACAGGAGTCTCTGGCTGGGATGCTGGGCACCCACAGAATAAACCCAGCAGGCCCCCTCCCAGGTGAGGGCCTGTGGTCTCCGGGGAGCATCTCACCACCCTGCAGCTGTGGGTGGAGCTGTGCTCCAGGGCAAGGAGGGACCAACTGCAGGTGCAGAAGCCTTGCCTCTCAAGGTCAGCCCGGACCTAGATCACTCTGCCAGTACCACCCCTCCCTCCCCCCACCGCAGAATGACTGTGGTAGCAAACCATGGCCTGTTTTATTATTTCCAGGTCAAAGTTGTCAAATACGGTCACTCCCCAGAAACTTTCAAAGGCCAGGAGGGAATGATCAGATTCAGCTTCTTCTAAGACACCAGCCCAATCTCCAAGCCTCTCTGGTGCTGCTCAGATTTCTTTTGCTGGTTTTAATAAACGAAATCTTAACCCTGGAGAGAGCTGGGCACCCGTACTTGTTTGTCCCTCTCCGGGAAAGGCTTCCTCGACTGGCGGACAGGGGCGCAGCTTTGGGACTGGGCCCCTGGCCGGCTTCTCACAGCTGACCCAGCCTACGCATGTGGTTTCCCCCCTAAGTCATGGAGACTGTGTCCTCCGCTGTCGTTAGTCTAGAAGGGGCCAAACGACTAGAGAGGCAGAGGGGCAGGGGGCAGATCCCCTTCACCTGACCCCGTCACCCGGCTGCTCCTGTACCCGCGCAGCTTGTGGACCTGGTGCTGACAACCATCCCTCCCCGGGCGCGCGAGCCACTCACAAATTCGAAGATGAAGAGCAGGTCCGGGAAGGTGATGAAGACCGCGAAGCCGCTGGGGAGGGAGCTGCCCCCCGACGCCGCTGCGGGGGCCATGCCGGCGGGCTGCGTCGGCCTGGGGATGGGACGCGCGGCTCTAGCTCCGCGGTGACCGATCTCTGGCTCGGTGGAGCGCAGTGGCCGGGCGCCCCCGCGCGCGGGTTAAGAGCAGGGGGAAGGAGGAGCCCTGGCCGCCGCCCGCCCCACCCGCGCTGCCGCCGGGCGCGCCCCAGGGGACTGGGCAGGAGGGCGAGCTGCAGCGCCGCCAAGCCCAACTCCGAGGGCGCCCTGCGGGCATGCCGAGCGAGGGTGGGGGCTTGGCCCGGCGTCCCACACGGTGCCACCTCCCGCGGGGAGCAGGACAAAGCCGCTTAGGTTGTGCACTCTTCCCAGGTGATCGCCATCCCTTAGGGATGACAACCAGCAATACCTAGGCTTCCCAGACTCCCCACCGTGGCGCCCCTCGAGTCACCATTGCTAACTGTTAAGTTAGGTCCATTCACCTTTCAGCGGGGTGCGTTAATTTGTGTGACCTCTGCACTCAGGTTTACGGTGGGGGCGAGTTCCTAGTCCTGTCTCCCTGGAGTCTGCAGGGATGGCGCTGAGACCAGCTCTGGCCACCCAAACCCTTTCCCCAGGGCGCCTGCGAGCCTGTCCATCTGCAGGCGGGAATGGCTTGCAGCGCTTGCAGCCCCAGGGGAGGTGCTGTGGGAGATCTGCGTTGAAAACCCCAAACAGGGGACTTTCCTGGAGCTGATTTATCCCTTTCACTGAGTGGGGACAGCTGGAGCCTCTGCCAGCAGAGGAAAAAACATTTTTCTGCTCAGTTAACAGCGGGCCTTTTTTTTTTTTTTTCCTCTGGACCATGTTTCTTTTATTCTATTTGGCTTTGTTTTTAAACAAGTATCACACTGGAGTAGCTGACTTTTAATTTAGGCGTTATCACCAGGATGAGCCCCGGTTCATCCTGGGCGCTACTGTGGCTGGGCTCTTGGTTAGGTGCCCAGGATATGACATACTAGGGAAGGAGACAAGGCTGATGGGGACCTGGCGGGCCCAGTAGCGGGGCACCCCACAGGCCTCTCTCCAGGGACCCTCGCTCTTCCCTCTACACAGCGCACAGTGCTTTCCTCTCCAGGCCCTCTGGAAGGAAGTAAAAATTCTTGCCAATGAGCTGTCCATTCCTACCACTTTTGGAGCTGGACCAGGCATTAGAGGTGAGAAATCCCATTGCGTTTCTGTGTGCTTCCTCAGGGCTGCTGGCCTTGGTGGCCTGAGACCCAGAGGGCCATTGTGCCAGGAGGGTCTGTTGGCCCCTGCCAGGTTTCCAGGGCAGGACCTCTCTGCCTGGATGAGACTTCATGGGCACACAGCTGTGAGATTGTCAGAGGCTTCCCCACAGTTCCTCACCCACCCAGACATCTTACACCCAGACATTTGGGGCTGCTGGCCTTGGGAGGACATCTTCTTCCTCCTGAGGGGACTTTAATGGGACAAGCCTCAAAGCAAGGCCACAAGAAGTGAGATAACCCTCAAGCAGATCCAGCAGTAGCTACTTGGCAATTGCTCTGTCGCTATTCACTAATTAAAAAACACACAAAGGTCATATCAGCTCTTAATAATTTGTCTGGCCTTGAGGTTTTCTGTTTGTTTTCTGGTGTGTTTATTTTTTGTTTTGTTTTGTTTTGTTTTTGCTAGCCATTTCAAACCTTTGTTGCTAAGGTCTTCAAGTGTGGGCCTGTGACTTGGAGAAAGGCTCCCTTGTATCCCTCAACAAAGCTGATTGACTCCAGGCCTCCCTGATGAGGTCTAAAAGGCTACAAGGGATAAGGAAGCAACCTGACCAAGGTCAAGGGGGCTTGTCCCTTTCTCTGTGAACCTCTCTTCTCCCTGTAGTCATCTGGTTGACTAGCATCTTTCCAACCCTCTGCAGGGCGCCTCCGCCCCATCCATCAGCCTGTCACCTTCCCTGTTATGTCATATCCTCGGCACCTGACCAAGAACCCAGCCCATGGTAGGTGTTCAGTGAGTGTCAGTCCAATGCCAGGACAACCCAGCCTTGCCTGTGCTTGACCACAGAGGAGGAAGTGGAGTGTCTCTGTTTGGACATAAAGAGTATCAGGAAGCAGAGATAAGTCTGTCTTCATGTCATGACAGAGCTTCCCTGGGGTGAGGCTGGGGGTGGGGGGCTCTGCTGATGGTTCATATTTATAAGAAGCCCAGGACCACACTTTGATTTCCAGCAGGATGTGAAAAAACAACCCCAGCCAATAATAAGCCATTGCAGTGTCCTCAGTCTTCCTAGTGGCATCGTGGGTGAGAGTGTGGGCATCGGTCTGGGCTGGATCTGGGACTTCTGTCCAAATAATAACACAACCTTGGATGGGTTTCCACAAAGTAGAAAGTGGCATTGCTATGGCAGCCCTAGGATAGAAGAGGTCGCCTCCTGCCTACGTGTAGGTGGGAGGGGTCGGGGGAGAGGGATGTGTGTTTTGGGAAGGATCCACAGGACAGGAATTGCCAATGAAGAATAGCAGGTGATTTGCTATTCTTCGAGTCTGTAGCATGACGGCCATTTGAGTGACGGGGCAATGGAGGCTCAGAAAGGTTAAGTTGCTGCTGAGACCACACGGCTGGTGAGGGGTGGAGCTCAGTTTCCAGCCTGAGTGATGCCGTGCCTCCAAAGCTACAACCACTTAAAACCGTGCTTAACATGGGCAACTGCCAATTAAGTGCTGTGCCCCACGCAAACAGCCCATCGGCAGCCACTCAAATCTAGTCTTGGTGGTCAGGAGTAACACTGCGCCTGCTCTCTGTGGCACTCCGCCCGGCCGACAGGGCTCTGGGCCCTGACAGGGGACACCGCCCTTGTGTATGGCTGGGGGAGCAGGGTGAAGGCCCTGGCCAACATCTACCCAAGGGAACTTATTTGTTTCTGAGGCACCACAGCTCTGGCTCTCCACCCACGGCCTGACACCACGAGGGCCTGCTGGACTGGTGGGTAACACTGTCACAGCTGCATTGGCCCTGGCCCACTAATTGCCCAGCTGCCAAGGCACTTCGCTCACAGGACCTCATTTAATCCCACAGAGCCTTTCTGGTAGATGTCACCCCACTGTACAGGCTCAGAGTGGGGAGGGGACATGCCCAGGCCACAGGGAGGGCAACCGGACCCCTGGACTCTGGAAGGCAGATCGTCCCCATTGTAAAATCTAGGGGTGGGGCTCCCCAGGAGAGCATCCCTTGATGGTCAGTGGGGAGCATGAACCCTGCTGCCTCCAGTGACAATGAGCTACCATATGTGATCTTTTTCTCTTGTTCCCAACCTCTCTTAGGCTTACATTTCCTCGTGCCAGGGTGGCTGAGTACTCCCCCACCACTTGAGAGTCGTCATCGAGCTCCGGGATTCGGGGCATGCAGTGGGGGCTGGCGTTGTCGGGGTATCTCGGGGACAGGGACATAGGGCAGAGGGTCTGCTCCGTAGGTGAGTTCCATCCAAAAGGGACATGCTATGCATAGTCAGTAGACACCTGTGCTGGGCCTGCACTGGGTGCCTTCCCACCTCTGCAAATGCTGGTGGGTGGCACATGTGCCAGGCACTCTACAACAAGGTTGGGGCGGGGACAGGCCTCCATTTCTGAGCACCTCTTGGGAACACTGAAGATGTAACAGTAAAGGAGGCCCCTGCTCTCAGTCCCTGCATAGTACCAGCTCAGTAAGCCCCAGGTGACAGAGAAAGCAGGGAACAGGGAGGACGTGATCTCTGCCTTTTTGAAACTTCTCGTGGAGTGGAGGGGACAGGCATCAACCGGACACCCATACAATAAGTGTGCCCTAAAGTTTGGTGCTAGAAGGAGAGTGCAGGGAGCCCCAAGAGCACCCATGGGAGGGAGTGACTCTGGGGTGTGAGCAGTGGTTAATGGGGAAGAACAGCATGCATCTGGTCCCTGGAGGAGCGTTAGGCCTGCTCCACACACCGTGAGGGCTGCAAGTGCAAGCAATGGAATCCACACTAGGAGTCAGAGGCACTTGGGTGGCCAGCGTCCAGGGCAGAAGGAAATGGCACAGACTGTGAGTTCTGGAAGAAGACAGGGCTGATGGTGACAGTGGAGGAGGACCTGTGCCGAGCAAAGGGAGTCCCGGTGGGCGGAAAGCTTTTGGTCTCTGTGGATAGCAGGGTGGCTCCTGGGACAGAGCTGGGAAGGCCCAGGGCGGGCTGGACTCAGGAGAAAAGAGGCAACATTCACGGGGTGTAAAGCATGCCTCAAGCTTAGTTACTGTTCCTGACCAGCCCTGAGAGTAATTGGGACCCTTCTGTCTGTCCCAGAGAGGGTGAACCTCATACCACACGCAAGCCCTGGACCTGCCTAGTGAGTTGCACCGGAATTTGGCCCAGGTTGCCCGAAACTTCAGAAAACATCAGAGGCACAGGGCAGGGCTGGGCCTGTGGGTCCTTGGAATGTGGCCTCAGCAGGTTTGGGGCTGGGCCGGCTGGTGCCCATGTGCAGCACCTTCCTTCCAGGTTCCCTTGGCCCCTCCGGTGCCTGTGCCACACAGCATGCAACTGCAGAGTAAACGTGAGTTTAGCAGGCTCCACCTGGAACAGCCCAGGCCCCAGGCCTTTCACTCTCAAACTCACACTTCTACCTGAGGCTTCCTCGGAGGGCCTACCCATGGAGACTGACCCCTCTAGAAGGAACCTACCTTCTAGAAAAGCCACTTGCTTCCAGTCATTAAGAAAGCAAGGTAGACCTTTACGCTGCCACCTATTGGGCCAGAGGGTCCCGTCTCGCTCTCTAGCCTTAGCATTTCTGGTTTCTTTTAGAAAAACTACACTTAGAAAATGTAGAAAGGAAAACTGTGCTCATGCTTCTGATTCTTCCGCATCAAGGCAACCATTTTTATCTCTGCCAAACATTCTTTAGAACTTGTGAGGCGGCAGACAGTCTACTTCTCTGAGCTTCTGCTTCCACGTAGTGACTTGTCCATTCATTCAGCCCAAACACACCCTCCCAGTGTTATGCCCAAGCTGTCTGGGCACAGGTGACCAGGCTGGAACAGGAGATGTACATGGGAGCTTTGTGGTGGAGGTGAGGCCAGTGTACCTGTAAGCATGCCAGGTGAGGGCCACCCAGACCCTTGCCAAGATGAGTGTGCGCTGTCCTCGGTGGGAAG